TCCACAAGAATGATATTTGGTAGATATTTTTTCACATTTTTATGTACTCTCGATATACATCTTCATCCGATTTTACGCTTATTGTTCACCCTATATGTAATATCAGCCCAAATTGTATTGATTTTTCATGTTCGACCAAATTTTACCATTTGGTCAAACTCGATCCGGTATGTCTATTGCTTCAATAAAAAGTTGTTAATATAATCTTTATCGAAGTCATATCATGCACTATACAGCAATGTTATTTGATATTAGAGGTATAAAAGCCTCCGTCAAATTCGTTGAAAATCGATTCAGAATTAGATACGGTTCCCAAATTAAGACTACTCTAAAGCCATGATAAGCATTCGAATAAGGTTCATAGTTGGTATGACCTACTTCACATAAATTCCACAATATTTTTTTTTTGCCACTATAGCTCTACTAAATACGAATAGTGGTGTGGGATACTTTATTGCTACTTTAACACGTTTCGGATTTAAATAAAAATCTTGCTTAAAAAAATGTTATTCGGAGAAAGAGTTAAAGGTGGAAATATTCTAGATCAAATTTCAATGTGAGTTTTTGAAGAAACGAGTTTGGAAAAATAAATCTCTACCATCATAAAATATCACCAATTTTGGTTAAAAAAATTGAAGGTTTATTTTTTTTGACAAATTGTGCATTTTTCCAATTTTTTTCTGGCAGAAAATTCCAAGGGAGTCTCAACCATATTTTCTTCGACGTTTTCAACAGTCGAAAGTATAAGAAAGTGCAGCAAATTCCAAAAAAAAGTGCTACATTTGTCAAAAATAAAAAAAACGTTTTTTATTACCCAAAATTGCTGATATTTTTATGGTACATATTGGGCATAGAAGTTTCTTTTGTTCAGAGACTCACAATGAAATTCGATCTAGAATATTTCTTCCTTTGACATCTACTTCAAAAAATTAAGAATTACGGGAGATTTTAACTTGGATTGAAAACCATTTCATTTAGCAGTAAAAAACGTCAACACATAATTTTCACTTTTAATATATAACTTTCGAATGTGATTTTCTTAAAAACAATAATACCTAGACACATGATTTCTTCTGAGATTTATAGTGAAATTTTGTGTAGAATAATTCTTCTTTTAACACTTTCTACGTAAAATGAAATTTTATGTAACTTTCATGCATTAAAACGAAAAGGGCCATGAAAAAATTGATCAAAAAATTTTAATTTTAAAATTTTTTCGCGCTTTTAGCAACATTGTTATTGTTATATTATTTTCTTTATATATAATGGATATAGAGATTTTTTTATTGGGTGACTTATAGTAAAATTTGGTGTAGAATATTTATTCTTTTAACACTTCTTACCAAAAATAAAATTTTACATCAATTTCGTTAAAAAATTTAGGAAATATTTTCGCTTTTTTTTTTGTGGCAACATTGTTGCGTATATTTTCTTGATAAATAATGAATATAGAGATTTCTTTTCTTCGGTAACTCATAGTAAAATTTGGTGAAGGATATGTTTGTCTTTGATGTCATCCTTCCAAAACGATGCTTTGTAGGAGTATTGCGTATATTGACATAAAAAACATCTTTAACCCTAAAATATGTTTGAAATATTTATGAACTCCTCGCGTTTAGGTAAATTTAGACTTTTGAAGTATTCTAGAACCTTTAGTAGAATTTTATGACAAATCATATTTTTTTCGAATATTTTGACTTACTACCATTCCGTTTTACCATATATTGAAAACTGAACCAAAAACGGCACTTAAGTGACTTGCCTGTGGGTTAAAAATTTCGATCAAAATATTTCTCGTATCAGTACAATTGTCGAATACCCTACATACCTAAAATATAAAGATTTCAAAAAATTTTGATCGAAACTTATAGGAAATGTTACAAAAATTGTTTAAAAATGTATCTCGCAATTTTGGTCGAAATATATATTTCCCCAATTTGGATTCCCTATCATCAATTCCCATGTGTGTAGTAAGAAGCATTTTCCAAACAAACAACAAGCTTTCCATGTTTGGCAAAATGTATTAATTCTCGGCTAAGGGCATACGCACGCATAGCTCTTGCCGTACACACACACACACCAACGAATACTATTTTTGCGTACTGTTGTTGTTGTTATACTATTTCTGTCTGTCTGACAGTTTGTCTGCTAGTCTACAGGTTTGTCAGACTCAATAGCATTTTTCATGTTCATGTTTCAAGTTGTTCACAAATGAACACCCAAACGCCGAACACAGGCAATCTCTGTGCGTGTTGTTGTTGTAATTAAACATGGATGTAGAAAAACAACAAAAAAACCTAGAATCTGGAAAATTATAAACAACAGCAACAAACAAGCAATTTTTATGTTTTTAAATCTTTAGTGTTTGATTTTATTGCCGGTGATTTTTGGTTTTACTTTTTCCATGGCAATCATTTTCCGAGGCAATTATTTTATGATTCTCTTCGACTGTGGAGGGTTTGAGGTTGAGGGGGTAGCAGAATTTTATTGGTCATGCGTCCGGTGTGTAATTTTAATTGTTTCGATATCGGAAATATTTATCTGAGGAGATTGAATTTATTTCTGTAGCCAAGTGAAGAGCTTCAGGCCTTCTGTAGCCAAGACAGACCTGAGGGCCTGTTATAGAAAATAGAAGCCCCTCAGGTCTTCTACAGGCAAGAGAAGTCCCTCAGGTCTTCTAAAGGCAATAGAAGCCCCTCAGGTCTACTATAGGTAATAAAACCCCTCAGGTCTTCTATAGGCAATAGAAGCCCCTCAGGTCCTCTATAGGCAATAGAAGCCATTCAGGTCTTCTATATCCAGCCAATAGAAGTCCTTCAGGTCATCTATAGCCAATAGAAGCCCTTCAGGTCATCTATAGCCAATAGAAGCCCTTCAGGTCTTCTATAGCCGATAGAAGCCCTTCAGGTCTTCTATAGCCGATAGAAGCCCTTCAGGTCTTCCATAGCCGATAGAAGCCCTTTAGGTCTTCTATAGCCGATAGAAACCTTTCAGATCTTCTATAGCCGATAGAAGCCCTTCAGGTGTTCTATAGCCGACAGAAACCCTTCAGGTCTTCTATAGCCATTAGAAGCCCTTCCGGTCTTCTATAGCCATTAGAAGCCCTTCAGGTCTTCTAAAGCAAATAGAAGCCCTCCAAGTCTTTTATAACAAATAGAAGCCCTTCAGGTCTTCTATAGCCAATAGAAGTCTTCAGGTCTTCTATGGTCGATGGAAGCCCTTCAGGTCTCCTATAGCCAATAGAAGCCTTTCATGTCATTTATAGCCAATGAAACCCTTCAGGTCTTCTATAGCCAATAGAAGCCCTTCAGGTCTCATATAGCCAATAGAAGCCCTCCAGGTCTTCTATAGCCAATAGAAGCCCTTCAGGTCTCATATAGCCAATAGAAGCCCTCCAGGTCTGCTATAGCCGATAGAAGCCCTTCAGGTCTTCTATAGCCGATAGAAGCCCTTCAGGTCTTCTATAGCCGAAAGAAGCTCTTCAGGTCTTCTATATCCCATAGAAGCCCTTCAGGTCTTCTATAGCCGATAGAAGCCCTTCAGGTCTTCTATAGCCGATAGAAGCCCTTCAGGTCTTCTATAGCCGATAGAAGCCCTTCAGGTCTTCTATAGCCGATAGAAACCCTTCAGGTCTTCTATAGCCGATAGAAGCCCTTCAGGTATTCTATAGCCGATAGAAGCCCTTCAGGTCTTCTATAGCCGATAGAAGCCCTTCAGGTCTTCTATAGCCGATAGAAGCCCTTCAGGTCTTCTATAGCCGATAGAAGCCCTTCAGGTCTTCTATAGCCGATAGAAGCCCTTCAGGTCTTCTATAGCCGATAGAAGCCCTTCAGGTCTTCTATAGCCGAAAGAAGCCCTTCAGGTCTTCTATAGCCGATAGAAGCCCTTCAGGTCTTCTATAGCCGATAGAAGACCTTCAGGTCTTCTATAGCCGATAGAAGCCCTTCAGGTCTTCTATAGCCGATAGAAGCCCTTCATGTCTTCTATAGCCGATAGAAGCCCTTCAGGTCTTCTATAGCCGATAGAAGCCCTTCAGGTCTTCTATAGCCGATAGAAGCCCTTCAGGTCTTCTATAGCCGATAGAAGCCCTTCAGGTCTTCTATAGCCGATAGAAGCCCTTCAGGTCTTCTATAGCCGATAGAAACCCATCAGGTCTTCTATAGCCGATAGAAACCCTTCAGGTCTTCTATAGCCGATAGAAGCCCTTCAGGTCTTCTATAGCCGATAGAAGCCCTTCAGGTCATCTATAGCCGATAGAAGCCCTTCAGGTCTTCTATAGCCGATAGAAGCCCTTCAGGTCTTCTATAGCCGATAGAAGCCCTTCAGGTCTTCTATAGCCGATAGAAGCCCTTCAGGTCTTCTATAGCCGATAGAAGCCCTTCAGGTCTTCTATAGGCAAAAGAAGCCCCTGAGGACTTCTGTAGGCTATATAAGTCCCTCAGGTCTTTTATAGTCAATAGAGGCCCTACAGGCCTTCTATAACCTATAGAAGCTTTTCAGGTCCCCCACAGGAAATGGAAGCCCTTCAGGTCTTCTATAGCCAATAGAAGCCCTTCAGGCCTTCTATAGCCGATAAAAGCCCTTCAGGCATTCTATAGCCGATAGAAGCCCTTCAGGCCTTCTATAGCCGACAGAAGCCCTTTAGGCCTTCTATAGCCGATAGAAGCCCTTCAGACCGTATATAGCCGATAGAAGCCCTTCAGACCGTCTATAGCCGATAGAAGCCCTTCAGGCCTTCCATAGGCAATAGAACCCTTCAGGTCCTCTACAGGCAATAGAAGCCGATAGAAGCCCTTCAGGTCTTCTATAGCCAATATAAGCCCTCCAGGTCTTCTATAGCCAATATAAGCCCTGCAGGTCTTCTATAGCTAATAGAACCGCTTCTATAGCTAATAGAACCGCTATCTCATAAAAGCCTTTAAGGACCTCTAAGTCATTAAATTTTTTCCAAAAAAAAAAATTGTTTAATTTTTATTCCCATTTTTCTCTTCCCTTTCCAGTTACCTGCTGCCGAGAAACGTGTCGATGATGACATGGTGGGCGACAATGAAATAAATACCGAAAACAGTATAGACAATGATGGCGGTGGGGGACCTCTTCTGGGCGCCGCCAGTGCAGGAATGGCCAATCGAGACGATAATGCTCTGGTGGGTCAAATTGGTCATGGCTTTGTGAGTGGTGGCATTTCGGCTACCTATCGCACTACCATGCTACGCAAATGGTATTCAGCGCCAACGGTACGCGAACAGAAGGGCAAACCCGGTGAACTGGGAAAACCGGTGAAAATTCCCACGGAAATGAAAGAATTGGCCAAAGAGAAATTCAAAGAGAATCAATTCAATTTGGTTGCCAGCGATTTGATTTCCCTGAATCGCTCGCTAACAGATGTCAGGCATGAGAAGTAAGTAAAATTCAATTGCATTGCATTTTGTGATGTTCGGAAGAAAAAAAGAAGGAACAATTCTAATCATTTTTATTTCTCTTTTTCATTCTTCATCTACTTCTTCTTCGTTTAGCTGTAAAAAGAAACATTATCCTTCGAAACTGCCAACCACCTCCATAGTCATAGTTTTTCACAATGAAGCCTGGTCAACATTGCTGCGCACCGTCTGGAGTGTGATAAATCGTTCGCCACGTTCACTTTTGAAAGAAATCATTTTGGTCGATGATGCAAGTGAAAGAGGTTTGTTAACAACAGCACCAACAACATAAACGTAATGTAGAGAGAAAAAATAACAAAAAGTCGGCAACACTTCATGTAGCTACTCCGCACTGCATCCGCAGCTTAAGCACTTTGTTTTGTGTTGTCACAAAGTTAAAGTGTCGGTCTTTAGTTAGATTTCTCGCCGTGATAAATTGCATTATTGTGTGTCCTTTTTATTCTTTTTCTTTAAGGCTATTTTTACTCTTAAATTAAAGAGAGTGTGTTATGGTGGGTAATATGTTAAGTAAGGTAGAACGGGCTTCAGCTATACTCATATGGAAATTTAAAATTTTTATTTATATACGGATTGAAGTCCTCCCGGCCTTCTATGTACAGAAGAAGACTTTCAGGACATCTTAAATATATAGACGACATTTCGATCCTCTTAAACCAATAGAAGACTTTCAGGTCTTCTGTGTCCAAGACCCCCTATAGCGCATAAAAGACCCTGTAGGCCATCCATTTTAAATAGATGATCTTCTGGTGTCCGCCAGACACCCGCGAACAAATATAAGCCCCTCCGTCCTTCTATATCAAAAAAAGTCTCCATTGGTCCTCTATAACGGATAGAAATCCTTCACGTCCTCCATAATAAATAAGAAGCCTTTCAGGTCTAATAGGAAATAGTACAATTAGAGCCCTTCCTGCCTCCCATAGCAAATAATATACGTTCCGGCCTTTTATAGGCCGACAGAAGCCCTTTATCATCTCTACATTTAGTATCCAATTGAATCTTTTCAGGTCTCTATAGTCAATAGAAGTCCTTCACTCCATTGTAGCAAATAAAAGCCCTTCAGGTCCCTATAGTCATTAGAAGCCTTGGTCGTCTATAGCCAATAGAAGCCATTCCAGCCTTCTGTAGCAAATAGAACCCCTTCAGGTCTTTTATATCATGTAGGAGCCCTTCAAGTCTTATGCAGCAAATAGAAGGCGTTAAGCCTTTTATACCATATAGAAACCCTTCAGGTCTTCCAAATAGAGTCGTTCAGTCAACCTATGGTAAACAGAGGCAAATATAAGTATAACAAATAGAAGCTCTTCAGGCCTTCTATGGCAAATAGAAGTCCGTCAGGTATTCTAAAGCAAATAGAAGCCCTTCAGGTCTTCTAAAGCAAATAGAAGCCTTTCAGGTCGTATATAGCAAATAGACGCCCTTCAGGTCTTCTATAGCAAATTGAAGCCCTTAAGATATCCTATAGCAAATAGAGTCGTTCTGGCCGCTTGTGGTAAATAGAGACAGATATAAGCCCTTTTAGTTCTTCTACAGCAAATATCAGATCTCCAGACCACCTAGAACAAATATAATCCCTTTATGCCTTCTCTAGCAAATATAAGCCCTTTAGGCCATCTATAACAAATAGAAGCCCTTCAGGCCTTCTATGGCACATAGAAGCCATTCAGTCCTTCCAAATCTTCTATAGCACGTAGAAGAAGCTCTTCAGGTCCTTTATAGCACACAGAAGCCTCTCAGATCTTCTATAGCAATTAGAAGCTCCTCAGGTCTTCTATAGCACATATAAGCCCTTTTTGTCTTCAATAGCAAACATAAGTCCTTCAAATCAGCCACTTCAGGTCATCAAAATAACATAGAAGTCCTCTGCAGTCAATAGAATCCCTTGAGCCCTTCTATATAAAATAGAAGTCCGTTCAGGCCTTCTATAGCGAATAAAATCCTTTTTAGGTCTTCTATAGCAAATTAAAGCCATTCAGATCTTCTATAGCAAACAGAAGCCTCTCAGGTCTTCTGCATCAAGTAGAAAGCCTTTAATTTGTTATAGCAAATAGAAGCTCTTATTGCCTTCTATGGCAAATAGAAGTCCTTCAAGCCTTCTATTTTAAATAGAAGCCCTTCAGACCCTCTGTGGCAAATATAAGTCATTCAGGCCTTCTATGGTAAATAGAAGCCTTTCAAGTCTTATATGGCAGGTCTACGTCTTGTTATAGCAAACACAGGTCTTACAGGCCTCCCATAACAAACATAGGCCTTTCAGGACTCCATAGCATATGGAAGTCTTTTAGGTACCTATGAACAAGAAGAAGCTCTTGAGGTATTTAAGATCAAACAGAATCCCTTACAAGCCTTTTATGGAACATAGAACTTAGAAGCCCTTTAGGCTTTCCACAAACAAGTAGAATTTTTTAAGACCTTCTGCGGACAGTTAGGCCTTCTATAGATATGTTAGACCTTCAGCTTCCAAATAGCTCTTTTTATTAACAAGTGTCTCCAAATTATCATATGACCCCCCATCCTCTTTATATCCCACCGACTTTGTAATGCAATATATTTATTTTCTTAATATACATTTCTCCCTTTGTTCTCCATTTCATTTTCTGGGTACTTTTTCTTGTGTCTCCTCCACTGCTGCTACCACCTCTCGTGCTGCGCATTAACTCTATGCAGATTATCTGGGCAAAAAGTTGGAAGAATATGTTGCGACACTACCCGTCCATACGTTTGTTTTGCGTACTCAAAAACGTTCCGGTCTGATACGTGCTCGTCTATTAGGTGCTGAACATGTGACGGTATGTAAAAAATGCATTTGTTTTATTTTGTAATTCTTAAAATAGTTTTGTTTGTTTTTTTATTTTTTATTAAATTTATGTTTGCATTATTTTTGTGTTGTTCTGTAGCGGGGTTAATGTTTTCATAATGTCATCCTGCATTAGTCATTGTTTTTTTTATTTTTTTTTTTTTTGTTGTGGTAGGGATGATTTCCCTGGGGAATCACCTCACCTTGGCAATAGAAGGAGCTACGTGAAAAGTTCTGAGAGGAATGATATATTTTCATGGAAATTTGAAATATTGCAATATTGAAGGGTTCTTCGAGTGAATTTTGAATTGTTAAGAGGTATTGATGGGAAATAATAAATTGCAGGACTGGATAATAGAAATTGTGACCATTGAAAAGGATATAAATATCTGTTAAGACTATTGAAATTTCTCAGAATCATTGAAGGGGCAAAGAAATTGCAAAAATGGAATTTGGACACCATTCTAGAGACGCATTAATAACAGGGTACAAAATGTCACGTTTTCGAACCTTGGGCACTTCTCAATTCGTCTATTCTTCTCTATTCTTAAAATATTCTGTTTAAATGACTATAAAAAAATGAGATATTTAAATTCCTTTGAATAATGGTTTTCATTATCTCTCCCTGAGAGCAATATTGTTGCAGCCACTAGATTTTGAGCCCTTAGAGGAACAGCTTCAATATCTCTCTCTATATACCTTATTGTATGACTTATTAAAGTCAACCTTGTAAGCACGTCCAGTTTCAACTTACAAAACATACATGGCCTGCTTTCAAACCCTCAGTCATATGAGGAAGGGCCAAGACGTGCCTGGTACCTCCTTCACAAAATGTCAACATTTTCAAAGAAAATTATTTACTGCTAGGATAATCCGAAAATATAATCCGATTTTGCTCCAACTTTGCAAATCCTAATATTAGCATCAGTGCTATGTCAGGTGCGAAAAAGAACAATATCGGTCCACTCCATCAAGTGCATCCTCGCCGGCCATATCAAATGATACTGAGGGTGAAATGAAAAAACTGCAACCAACTTCAGACTGCTGTCATTTCGAAGCCACTCATCCGACAGCTTTTAAAATTATTCCAGTGAAAGCTTATTATATTTTTTACAAGTGTACAAAAGCATTTTGGTGACAATTTTCCAGAAAAAATGTTATTCGTGATGGAATTTAAGCGTGCTAGTGTGATTTCTTTATATTTGGCTGGAAAACCACAAGTGGCTATCGTTAGAACACTCCAGCATTTAAATGTGAATACATCTTTTGTGTCTCGTACCATCGCTCGTTACCGTGATACTGGTAGCGTAGCCCGACGTCAAGAAAGTGGACGAAAGAAAACAGCAACATCTGCAGAAATGGTTCGAAAAGTAAAGAAGCGACTTGTTCGACACCCGCGTCGCAGTGGCCGAAAAATGGATCGTGAGCTGAACATATTGCAATATTCCATTCGGCATTGAAATTCCAAAAAAAGTGCAAGAACTTACACCGCAGCAGAAAATAGACTCAAAAGAGTATATTTTCTGCTTCGCTTGGCCGAAAGTGGTGAACCGCCTGCCGAATTTAGTTTTCTCCGTTGAGAAAACATTCGTTGTCCAGCAGTTTGTAAACAAACAAAATGATCGTGTTTACTTTCCAAAGAGGTCAGCTGAAAATGTGCACCTTCGGTTGGCCACCAGAACTCAAGCGTCGGCCATGGTGATGTTGAGTGCCGCCATAACAGCCGATGGTCGCTCTGCGCTCGTATTTATCGACCGTGGCATCAGAATAAATGCCCAATATTATCGCGAAAATATTCTGGAGGGAGTATTAAAGCCTTGGTCACGCAAAAATTTTGGCCGCAGACCTTGGACATTCCAACAGGACTCAACACCATCGTACTCAGCACGCGACACCCAAGAATGGTTACAAAATGAGGTTCCTCGCTTCATTTCCAGCGCACAATAGCCACCACCGCCGGATATCAATCCTTTGGACTATTGTTTCTGGAGTGTTTTGGAAGCAAGGTTGGCACTAACAAATACCAAAGTGTCGATCACCTCAAGCAAGCGCTTCCCCGGTAATGGGCCAAAATACCGCAGAGTAACATTCGGGGTGCGTTGACCGTTTGAAGGCCAAAATTCACGCCAAAACTGACCGATTCGAACAAATCTAAACTTATTCTAAAATCGCACTCAGCATGCGCCACCCAAGAATGGTTACAAAATGACGTTCCTCGCTTCATTTCCAGCGCACAATGGCCACCAAAATCTCCGGATACAAATCCGTTGGACTATTGTGTCTGGAGTATTTTGGAAAGCAAGGGTGGCACTAAAAAATACCAAAGTGTCGATCACCTCAAGCAAGCGCTTCGCCGGGAACGGACCAAAATACCGCAGAGCAACATTCGGACAGAGTGAGATGGTTTCATTGGCCGTTTGAAGACCATAATTCATGACACAGGTTACGGATTCGAACAAATCTAAACTTATTCTAAAATTTGTTGCTATTTCCGACATTTTTTGCTTTCGTTAAGTAAAATTTAAAAAAAATGTAAAAATTATGGCTTTTGACTTTGTTGCAGTTTTTCATCTCAACCTGTATACCTTCTCTAGCCATATGGCTCAGGGTTTAAGCAAACTTTTCTTCAATCTACTGAAGAAAATTCGACTTCTTTTCTGACTATGACTATGGAAAGTTGCTCCTATCAACAGGAGATCTTCAGGAATTGTTCTACTTAAATATAAGACGGCCTATGGAAGTTATTCTATATCTAATAGACATGTGGAACTCTTTCCGTCTTTCAGATGAAATAAAGCAGACCTACGTTCAATCAACTGAAGAAAATTCGACTTCATTTCTGACTATGGCTATAGAAAGTTACCTATCAACAAGAGACCTACAGAAATTGTTGTATTTATATAAGACGGCCCATGGCAGTTACTCCATCTCCAATAGACATGTGGAACTCTTTCCATCTTTACAAGGTCTTCTATATTATATTAACTGAAGAAAACTTCGTCTTCATTTCTGACTATGGCTATAGAAAGTTGCCTATCAACGAGAGACCTGCAGAAATTGTTCTATTTATATAAGGCGACCTATGGGAGTAATTCTATCTCTAATAGACGTGTGGAACTCTTTCCATCTTTGTAAGGTCTTTTATATACAGATGAAATAAAGCAGATCTTCCTTCAATCTACAAATGAATTATTGGTTCATATTATCCAAATTTCCACAGGAACACCTCAATAAATACATCATTCTTCAATGGTTTTCACTTCGCGCCCTCAAGTATTTCGAATTGAAATAAGTGGCTCCACTCACCTCAAGTTACCCATCATTATTGCCCTACACAAATTATGGAAATTTCTGATGGAAAATTTAAGATTTCCTTTGGAATAACCAGAATTCACACAAAACCACCATTTGTTGTTTGTTCGGTATTCATTCATATCCATGTCTATAGTATTTATTGTTGTTGTTGTTGTTGTGTATATATATTTCAATAGAATCTAATTAAAATATTCCGTTTTCTTTCTTTTCATTTCATTCAATGTTTACTGGCTGCCTGCCGGTGCCTCCTCATCCTCCTTGGAAATGTTAATTTTGTTTTTTGTTTACAAACAGGGTGAAGTTATTACATTCCTCGATGCCCATTGTGAATGTACGGAGGGTTGGCTGGAGCCATTGCTGGCGCGTATTGTACAAAATCGTCGCACGGTTGTGTGCCCCATTATCGATGTTATATCCGATGAAACATTTGAATATATCACAGCATCCGACTCGACATGGGGTGGTTTCAATTGGAAGCTAAACTTTAGATGGTAATATTCCAATAATTTCTAAGATACTAAGGCACTCAATATTTATTGGAAGAATTTAGTGATTCATTTTTAATAATTTAATTTCATTTTCTTATCCCAGGTATCGTGTTCCTCAACGAGAAATGGAGAGGCGCAACAATGATCGCACCGCTCCATTGCGTACACCCACCATGGCTGGTGGTCTGTTTTCCATAGACAAAGATTATTTCTATGAAATTGGTTCCTATGATGAAGGCATGGATATCTGGGGTGGTGAAAATCTGGAAATGTCCTTTAGGGTAAGTTTTCTTCCGGACTAACTTCACAAGATCATTACGTAAAAATTTATCAAAAAATCTTTAGTAATAAATTATTTATTTTTTTTAGCTAGAAAATTGTTGCGTAAATCATAATTTTCTTTTTGCCATAATTTATAATTTTATTCTTCCCCCTTTTTCTCTTGATATTTATCAATTATTTCAATTTTTATAATTTTTTAAAAAAAAATCAATCAACCAAAAAAAACATCTTCTTCAATACAAAAACATTTCATCTATAGATTTGGCAATGTGGCGGCATTTTAGAAATTATACCATGCTCCCATGTGGGTCATGTATTCCGTGATAAATCGCCATACACATTCCCCGGTGGCGTTGCGAAAATTGTCCTCCACAATGCGGCGCGTGTGGCCGAAGTATGGCTGGATGAATGGCGCGATTTTTACTATGCCATGAGCACAGGTTCGATGTTTACAAAATTGTTTTCTGTTTTCAGTTTTTTTTTTATTGAGAGACAAAACAACTTATCCAAAACTAATCGTAAAATTTTGTAACTAATCCCAAAAACTGAAAAACAATTCAAATTTTAATTGAAATTTTATTTTCTAAACATTGCTTAATTTATTTGCTAAACGAAAAAATTTGGAAACCAAATATTTTTTTGCTTAATGACTTAACAATACTAATAAATTTTTATATTAAAAATATGTAGAGAGAGAGAGAGAGAGAGAGAGAGAAATAGATTTACATTCCTTTGGTCCTATGACGTAGGTTATGAGATTTGGCTTGGTTTAAGGATGCGCTACACAGGAGTACGAATATGCTTCACTCAGATAACTATGGCCCTAGAAAATATAATTAGATAAAAGGGAAAGAAAGGTTTAAAGAGGTGTTTTAATAGGATGGTTTGCTGGTTAGGAGATGCTTTTGAGCATACCTATAGATGATTACGACCAAATACCCTTATTCTCCTCTTTGATAACATGACACATCTGCGTAACATGGGACCTCTTCTTCATCCTCACATAGTCTTTAGTAGGCAGGTCCACTGTTATCCCATTTTTAGGTCAGATATTTGATACTGCCCGTCAATATGATTACGCGACTCTAATACATGAGACTGAATAGTATTCACTCTAACGCGGTCTCAGAAGTCATCGAAGGATATAGAGTGAATACTGTACTATGAGGCCATCCATCCCCCTCCCATCGCAGCTGAATAGCGAGAGCTGCCGCCTCAATTCCTACAGAGCTCGGATTGACAGCGATGTGCTGAACATCGACCCAGCTTGTGGCACAGGTCCACATGACACGCTGCACCTATTTCGCTGCCCAGCCAAACCTACTCACCTAACTCCAGTGTCATTGTTGACCCAACCCGTACAGGTTGCATCCTTTTCGAGATTGGACTTAGAGACAGAATCCGATTGGGAGGACAAACAAACAAAAACAACAGCAATCATAGCATGGCCACTGTTAAGGCTTTGGGTCATAGTAAGGCAAGAGCGAGTCCCTTGTTTTTAATTGTTTACATTTTCTTGTCCTTCTCGTCATCTATGATAAAGTTTTTCCAGATTCCTGCAGGAATGTCAAAGCCAAAATTAATGGAACTTCTTCTTCATTAAAAGAGTTACTTGGCTTACTTATGGAATATGAAACACTTTTGCATCCTTTCACAGACTGGTTTAAAAGGACCACCCATAACAACAATTTCTTCGGTGTATACTTGGCAAAGAAGTTAGCTGAGAATGTGCACTTTCGGTTGGCCACCAGAAGTCAAGCGCCGGCCATGGTGATGGTGTGGGCCGTCATAACAGCCGATGATCGCTCTCCGCTCGTATTAATCGACCGTGATTTCAGAATAAATTTCGAATATTATCTCGAAAATATTCTGAAGGGTGTATTAAAGCCTTGGGTACGCAAAAATGTTGGCCGCAGACCTTGGACATACCAAAAGTACTCAGCACGCGCCACCCAAGAATGGTTACAAAATGAGGTTCCTTGCTTCATTTCCTGCGCACAATGGCCACCAAAATCACCGGATACCAATCCGTTGGACTATTGTTTCTGGAGTATTTTGGAAAGCAAGGTTGGCATTAAAAAATACTAAAGTGTCGATCACCTCAAGCCAGCGCTTCGCCGGGAATGGGCCAAAATACCGCAGATCAACATTCGGGCAGCGTGTGCCGGTTTCATTGGCTATTTGAAGGCAATACTTCAAGGCAATACCAAAGGTGACCAATTCGAACAAATCTAAACTTAGTCAAAAATTTGATGCTATTTCCGAATTTGTTTGCAACAGTTTGAGTTATCGTAACTCATGGCTGGGGGTATACATCTGTCGGCAAAACCGACTGATAGTATTTTACTTGTTCTTATCTCAAGTTAGGCCGTTTAAGTTGCAGTGGGTGCTATATTAGTCTATGCTCTATTAGTTTGTGTTAAAAAGGGGGTACTCCGGTATTAATTGCTGTTTTAATATTCCTGTCTGCTTGTCCGCCTAAAATTATGCTTTGTAATTTATATTGCTTTAAATATCTAAAGATTTTTTAAATGTATCGTCGTAACCAGCAAGAACTCCCACAAATCTTAAATAGCAGATGCTATGACTACTCTTCGCTAATGTCGATTCTCCTTTAAATACCTAAGTCAAAGCTAATTTAGCAATTCTCCTTTAAATCTCTAGATCAAAGATTCTGTATTTTTGGTCAGATGTTGACCATTGTCCACTGCTTTGTTTTAAGCTCTCCAATTGTAGACACCCTAGCGTTTCAAAGTATTTTACATATCTCCCTCTCTCTCTCTTTCTCTCTACATATTTACAAATTAAAATTGCATATTAACGCTTTAATTAAATTATTCCAAAAATAATATAATAATATTTACTTTGTTTTCTTTTTTTAATTTTGTTGGCATTTATTTCTTGAATTCCCAAAATTAAAATGTTATGAATTTTGTTATTTATTTTGTTGTTAAACGTACATACATACAACAAGATGTAATGTATATGGAAAACAATTGCGCACCCTTCACCTAATTAGTGTATGTACCAAAAAAAAAGCAAAAAAACAACAAACAAATAAAACACCCACTCGCAATTTGTTGTTGTGTTAACTTATTGCAACAATTGGAAATAATGAATGACATTTAAATGTATCTTTTTTTGATTTGATTTGCTCCTCCTCTTCAACTACTACTCTCTTCTTCACTCTGTTGTAATTGAAATAAATGTTGAATTTTGTGCTCATATTTCGTTTGAAAAAAATTTGAAATCCAACGGAAAAAAACAACACCCAGCACCATCACCGACAACTGACGACGACTCGAGCTTGTTGGGCAAGTTGGAATGATCTGTGTGCGTTCGTGCGTGTGTCTGTGTTGTGCCTATGCGTTTGGGAGAATGTTAATAACAAAAATATATTTACAAACCAAAAAAAAATCGCATCTAATTGAATTGTATTTTCTAAAACAAAAAGCTTTTACTACTAAGCCCACCACCACCCTCCTTCAATAAAAAAGACAAGGACCAACAACATTTGAGAACGTACACACATTGCTAATAACAATAAATAATTGGTATTTGTAATATATTTATTAATTTATATATTTTTTTATTGTTTCTAACATTGTTTTATGTTGCGTTTTTTATTTATTTATTTTTAATTTTTTTATACATAAGTTTTTTTATTACTATTATTAATATGGTTAAAAACTGTTTTCAAACGCTGTTATTGATTAACATATTTTTTCTACAAACCACAAAGAGTATGTGACTAATTTTATATTTGTTTTTGTATTGGCTTTAATTAGGCAAATAATTGTTAGGCATAAAATAGGATTTAAAAAAAATAATAATAATTAAATATTTAATTGTTAAATTGTTTGGATCAAGATCTTATGTGGCCAATTAGATATGCAATTTGTTTTTATTCTGTTCTAGCAATTATAGCAAAAGCATTAGTTTTTAAGATTATATCCTGAAATTCAGTGCCGCCTAAAAGTATGCAATACCTTTGGCCCAAGTCCGACTGTGGAAATCACTCTAGCTTTCGAACGAAATGAAGTAGGTTGATAAAATTTTACTCAAATGTATATTATGTCTGCAGGACTTTTGGTATTGAAAATGGGCCATTTTGAACCACGATTTGGTATAGCCCCCATATAATGGTAATGGTAAATGGCACCGGAATAGGTTCAAATTTGATATATGAGATTCGTAATGAATACTACAGCCCATGACAGAAAATTTTTCATGCAGGTCTTTATAGCCCCCATATAATGGTACCTCCCTATATTCGTAATTTTGGTGATTTAAGCGACATTATTCACCGGAAATGTTTCAAATTTGGTATTTGAAGTTCGTAATGGATACTACAGCCCATGACAGAAAGTTGTCTGTGCAGGTCCACGTCTTCGTATAGCCCCCATATAACGGCACCTCCCTATATTCGGTATTTTGATGATTTTTAGCGACACTATTCACCGGAATTGTTTCAAATTTGATATTTGAAGTTCCTAATTGGATACTACAGCCCATGACAGAAAATTGTTTGTGCAGGTTCACGTCTTCGTATAGCCCTCAAATAATGGTAGCTCCGGATATTCGATATTTTGATGATTTTTAGCGACATTATTCACCGGAAATTTTTCAAATTTGGTATTTGAAGTTCGTAATGGATACTACAGCCCATGACAGAAAATTGTTTGTGCAGTTGCAGGCCTTCGTATAGCCCAAATTTGGTATTCGAAGTTCGAAATGGATACTACAGCCTATGACAGAAAAATGTTTGTGCAGGTCCACGTCTTCGTATAGTCCGCATATTACGGTACCTCCCAATATTCGGTATTTTGATGATTTTAGCGACATTTTGCACCAGAATTGTTTCAAATTTGGTATTTGAAGTTCATAATGGATACTACAGCCCAAGACAGAAAATTGTCTGTGCAGGTTCATGCCTTCGTTTATACCAAATATAACAATACCCCCTATATTCGACGTTTTGATGCTTTTAGCTACATTATTCACCGAATTTTTTATTCAAGTATCGCATTTGAATATTGTAATGGATTATGACAAATGTTGCCTATGCATGTCCATGTCGTCGTATAGACCCTAATATAAGGGCTACATTCGGTATTTTTAAGTTTTTAATAAAATTTTTAATGGATTTTATTTTTTTGAAAAATGCCAAAATCGTTCCAAATGTTGGAGGGTATTCAAAGTTCGGCCCGGCCGAAATTACAGCTTTTTTACTTGTTGTATGACGATACGATAGGAATCGATGATCTCAAAAGTACAATACATAGATATTCCTGGAACTGTTGTTCACTTTCATATCACCATAGGGGGAAGTAGGCCCTAAAAATGATTCCAAAACCTAGACGTATCTGCCTTAAAAAAAAATAAAATAATCGTTTCCATTTGATAAAAAATGGTACTTCGGTATTACCATTTTTTCCCG